TAATTTATTGAGAATGATAAAATATATTTTTTTTTTCATAACCTTGTATGATTTTGAAAGTTCCCATGAGAATAAATAAAAACAAATAAAGAAAAAACACTAGTTCCCATGAAAACAAATACTACCTCCTGTTCATTATAAATGTCGTTTTGACTTTTTTGATTCATCCATTTTGTTATGTATCTAGACATATTAGAATATGAGGGAGTACTTAAAAAAAAAGACACTCTGCACCATAAAAACATACTGTCATCATCGATATTATGAGCTCTAAAGCTACTAATAACGCATCACAATCGAGCACAAACGAGCATAACCATCAAGTCGTGGAGCTTTCTTTAATCAAATATTTTTTCACCATTAAAATATAATCAAAATAGCTTATTCTTTCTTTCCTATATTACCTAGTATTAAATTTCTCTTACAAAAATAACTAACATTTGTAGAACAAAATTTAGTTGATGTTTTAAAATACTAGAAACTAGTACTAACACCCGTGTATTACACGGGTGCTTGTTAAAAAATTATTCTTAAATTTTAAAATTAATAAGAAAACTATATTAAATTTAGTTTACGTTTTTATAAAAAAAATATATTACTATATATTTTAGAATAATATGTGTTACTTATGACTTACATGTGTTATATTATATTAGTTTTATAACTTATATGATATAACTACTTGAAATATAAATATATTAGTTGATAAATAATTTCATTTTTCTAATTAATATTAAAAATAATTTTATTATTGTTATAGAGATAAATATTAATTATTTTTTTATACATACAATATAGATGTTAAATCGAAGCTCATCAAAAGAAGATTAATTTGATATATAACATACTAGTACAACACCCATGTATTACACGGGTGCTTGCTAATTTTTTCTTTAAAATCTAAAATTAATGAGAAAAAATAGTTGAAAATTTAAATACCTTTTATAAAAATGCATATATTATTATATATTTAGTATGGCACTTTTTATTTGTGTGACTTACTTGTATTATATTATAATAATTTTTTTAACTTACAACATATAACTACATTAAACATAAATATATCAACTGAGAAATAATTTTATTTTTTTAATAAATATTATTATTTTTTATTATTATAAAGATAAATATAATTTTTTTATTTTATATATACAATATGGATGTCAAATCGAAGATCATGAACAGATTATTAATTTGATATATTATATATGTAAAACCGATAAGAAATACAAAAGTTATCAACTTTTAAAATACATTTATAATTCAATAGCTAATTGAAGGAAACAAATCAAAAGTCAGGGATATATTAGTCACATAGTGTCTCACTATGTAAAATTATAAAAAATTAAAGGGTTATATTAATACAAGTGATTTTAAAATACCTAAGTTAGCTAAATAATATTTATAGAATGTTCGAATCTAGATTATTAATTATTAATATATTAATATTATTTGTCCAAACCTAATTACGAAGCATGATTTTTTGCCAAGTAGGATTCCGAAGCACCAGAAGCAGCCACGTAGGCTCAGCGCATTCGGAAATTATATATAGGGGAGGGGATGTAAAACTGATAAAAAATACAGAAGTTATTAATTTTTAAAATATATATATAATTAAATAGTTATAATAAATAATGATATTAAAATGCAATTAATACATGTAACATGACCATAAATAACCAACATATTTATGGTAATCCGAACCTAATTATTTTTTGTTTGGAATTAAATTAAAATTTACTCAAGCCTAATAACGAAGCATGTAATTATGTCACATAGGATTCCGAAACACCAGAAGCAGCCACGTAGGTTCAGCACGTTTTGGATTAATATATAGAGGAAAAGGGGATGAGCCAAGGGGAATTCAATCTCAGTCGAGTTTAACTCGTTAATTGTAAATGAGCTAGAAATCAATTTGTTAATGAGCTAAATTATACTACCTCCTATTTTTTTATTTGTCATTTTGGCATTATCAACTATTAACAAAATAAATGTCGTTTTGTTTATTTTGTACATATTTTTTTTCATTATTACCTCCATCTAGCTAATAAATACACAACGTCTTTTCATATTCACTCATCATTTTTTTCAAAACATTCATCTCTATCCTCATTAATTAGGGTTATTATTGAACAAAAAAATATTC